CGTGTTCTTTGAAGCTCTGACACCAAAAGGAAGCTGGAAGACGTAAATGAGACGGAGCAGGAGGAGGCGTTCACGTCAGCCGGTGTTCGCTTCGTCTGCTGCCGGTCTGAAGGTCCGACCTGAACATCTCCCAGGATCAAAGCTTTCACTCCGGCACGTCTCCGGCTTTATTCTCCTTTTTGTTCTCGCTCCACTTTTATAAGTCGTAAAAGAAAAAGAGGCGAATTTGGACGCGGAGCTTTTAAAGCTTAATGATGCCTTTTCCCTCTACAGCAGCCGGGGGAGCGAGAACTAATTACACAACGGTTCTGCTCGGTTCGGAGGATCCACCGGGGAGCTGGAACCATTTGGATTCCTCGGTTGGGAGCATAAACAGAACTGTTTCTTGCTGCAGCTCTTCCTGGGCGAGTCCGGCGCTGGGCATGAAGCCGGTACTGCAGCACAGAGACCAGGGTTCTCCTAAAACACCAGACCTGGTTCTGTTCTGAACTTCATTGTTTAAAAAGCATATTTCAGTGATCTGGTTCCGTCCAGTTTGGGGTTAATTTAACACTCGAGTTCCTGTTTTATGTGTTTTCTGGGTTTCGTTGAGCTCATTCCATAAAACACAGACTGGGTTCAGATTCTGCTCGTGTCACACTCGGTTAAACTTCCAGATTCACCGTAATAGCCTCATATTCTGTCCACTCAGCCTCCCGATAAGCGCTAATGAGATTATTACCAGTTAAACTTTACATCTTGTGAGCAGAGACAGAGCCGACGTCCCAGTCGGTCACTCAGACGACGTTCTTACCGATCAGGTCCAAACATGGAGGCTGAGAAGCTCCAGCTGTGGTTCTGCTCTGAGTCACAGGAACAACGTGGACACGCCGCTGAGATCTGGAACCTTTCCACACAGTCTGAACTCGCTCTCGTCCATTAACTCCCCAAAACAAGGCTCATGTGCAGAATTCTCACGTAATCAGAACCACATTTTCTCACAGAAAAGGTCTGAAAAGTCAGCGGCAGATGTTTCATCCAAGGAACCGGAGCTTACATCCAATGATGGACCTTTATTCTGAGATTTAAGTTTTGTTTTCACTCATTTAAATTCAGTTTTCACAAAGTTTCGGCTCAAACGCGGCACAATGAGGGTCTAAGAATACGTCAGGCTTTAGTCACAGCGTCACAAATGATTATAAAAATGCAGCCAAATTAGATCAACAATGAGATGTTTATCCAAAATACAGTTTAAAAAAATGTCTGATGCCAAAAAGAAGTTTTTGCACAAAAGTTCA